TTTAGATCACATTGGAAGTGCATTCAGTCACGTTGTGTAGCTCCAATGCGTAAAATAGAAAATTTATATCTTGAATAAAACTGACAAACTTCCTTGCTGTTGCTGTCGGGTGTCTGCCTTATACATGGATTAAGTGTAGACGCGGGGATTCAGCTTTCCTTTTCTCTGCTCGTGGCGTCACAATAGCAGTGAAGGTCAGTACTGGGTTGAACCGACAGCCATAGCCACTATATTTTGAATGATCATAAATAATTTTTGAAGCCAAGAGTAGTGATCACTGTGATTATTATATAAATTTCTTGCAAAGTCTGGAACGATACTGAAAAAAAATCATTGATTTCCTTCTATATTCATGTTTGAAAGTAGGCCGAAGTATCCACAGGTGAATACGAGTATCCAGATAATAAGTTAGGATCGATCAGTTCACACCAATTGTTCTGTTCTGATTCATCATTGCAAAACAATGGCCTGGAAACGGCCCAGCTTGAGGGAAACAGTATCATGGAAAGAAAGAACAGTATCGGACCCGATACCCTTAAAAGACCTGATGAGAACACTGCAGAATTGCGGGCAAAACGAAAGTTACGCGGCTATTGTCTAAGCGACGCAGGCCCGAGGAGAACACTGTACATGTAACCAGCGTCACTCTTGAAACTGCGCATGCGTACTCCCCATACTCGCATACATTTGATGTTTTTAGTCGCTGTATCTGCTCAAATAACATTCATCATGATATAATAAATCAATATATACTAAAACTTGCAGACCTTCCAATGAAATATTACCAGGTTTTTTTTGTGACAGAATACGTTATTGCAATATGCAAATTAGGCTACTCACCCTAGTCAAATATTTGTTAAGAAACTTTAAAGACTTTAAGTTTTATAAATTAATTAATGCAATAATGAACTAATTAATATGCATGGAATTGAACCAAAATTAGCTCATCTACTCATCATATATTAACTGTGTGCCAAATTTCATTTGAATTGAAATTGTAGATCTTGAGTTATCAGTTGAATAAATTTTAGTCACAGAGTCACAGACACCGGTACCACATAAGCTCCGTCTCACGGGAGCTACAAATGAATAGACTTACTTTCTGTCAGCACTTTCATGTTTGTACCCGTCAACAGATCCATAACGACATTGTTTAATAACAGGTTGTGCGGCATGAGTCGTAAATTTACCCATGCCGTAAACCCGTTAATTTTTGTTCGCATAGACATGTTTATGGAAGGCTATAGTTCTCAAATTTACTGAAATCACATCGACTTATCACATCTTCCTGTAAGAATAAAATGTACCATATTTTAATTAAAATTACACAGTGACAGCCCATACTCATCATGATTGAAGTCTACCTAACTTCTCACAGGATTGGTGGTGTACTATGCATTCATACCCTTGTCCTTGTGTGTATGTGTATATGTTTATTTTTGGTTTCAGATTATCAAATTTGATTTTTTTTTTTATTTAGCTCATTATTTTATTTTTAGAAATTAATAAATAATTTTTCAAGAGCAACTGTACAATATATTCAAAGTAGTCCCTAATGTTTTGTGCATGATAGCCAAGCTAGGATTTGTCATTTTTCGCATTGAAATCTAGTGCTTAGTACTGGAGACAGAATAACATGGACTTAATTACAAATATTCTAGGCAGCCATAAACACTTATGAGAAAATAAAAGATATACATCTACCGATGCAATTATGTATCACTCTGACACTTGTTTATTGATACATGTACATGTAAAATTCCTTGAAATGGATTAAATTGGTAATACAAAACAAACTACATATAAAAGACACTGGCTAATCAAAAATGACTACGGCTGAGAAAAAAAAAATATCTCTGTTTCTTGTTTCAACACACATCATCTTGAACTATGCGCCTCGGACGGTTTTTCCTTCTAAAGCATTCCAAAATACGCTTGTACTCGCACTTGTCTCAAATTCCCTCTATTTTAGCTCATTATTCAAAAAAAATAAAAAATAAATCGCCTCGCCTCATTTTAAAATTTCCATGAAACGAGAAACACAGATTTTTTTTCCTGGCCTAACAAAACATAATATGGCAAGAATGAGAAATTATAGCAATGTCTAACATAAACATCATAATAGGCGATCATGTCTAGTGACGAAAATAACATAATAAAAAAAAAAGTGCAATGACCTATTAAATATATTTCATTCCCTGAAAAATAAAATAAATGAAATACGTCAAGACAATGATCCGGGAGTTGACGAGTGAAGCTCAAATTCTAAGGTGTTGCTGTCTCAATAACATATTATTTCTAATGAATTTTGCAAGTGAAACTAGTAAACCAGTGTTATTGGTTTTTCATTATCATTAGAAAATTTTGTTCAGATTGGAAAAGTCTGTGGTGTATTTCGATGTTTCATCAAATAAATCTCATCTTTTTTTAAAAAAAAATAAAAAATCTTAGTGAACACTCAATATCAGATAACGGTGGTGATGGCCTATGGTGACGAACCTAAACTTAACACAGGTACCCCTGAAGTCATTGTGTTAGCACAAAACGTATTAACTGGCAAAGAAAAATAATCATAACATGATACATGGCCAGACAAAACGCTGAAATCGAAAGACTGCGTACGTACGTACATACATACATAAGAAAGTAAGGCTCGGCCTAGTAATAGCCATGGGGACCACAGCACTGAAAGTGTCCGAACACTGGACTGTCTGCTACCGACTGCAGTTTCGTATCTAAGAAATTATATAAAGTAAATAACTGCGCTGTGTAATGTCGATCGTGATTTAGGTAATCTAGGAATCGTCGGGTACAATGCTAAAGAACTCACCTTGTTAAATTGGACGGAAAACTAGCCGTGAAATTATCGTGACTACAGCGTAAACAAACCACTGACTTGTTTCTGAGGCAAATTGACCTTTCTGGCTCGTTCGCAAAATATATACTCCTGTTAAAAAAATAAAATAATAAATACCAGACAGAGTCACGCGACAACAGAGGTAATAATTGATTAACTATAAATGATATTTATTAGCAGTAATTTGGCCAACTTCAAATTTCTAATTCTTCTAATTTAATTCCATAGAAAATAGGCGTCTGGCAGAGGTAGCTTCAGGTCACTGGTTATAATTCATCTGAACGCTGGTGGCGCACTTATCTTGGACCATATACTAATAATAATAACTTTATTACTCTACCGAACCATCAACGGGTTCAGTATGGTAAATAAAAAAGTATTACAAGACTAAGACAACTCGGGCCGTCGCAAGCAGCTGAATAAAACTGCTTTCATATGCCACAATGAAAACACATTTAGTTGATGTCAAATATCATTGCTAAACGTTAATATACCGTACGATACACGTAAGACAGGTCGCAAAATGAAAATAATACCAAGGTCCTTGTAATGTCTTGTCGAGCGATATTGTCTTAAAACCTTAATAACATTGTTTTAAAAAATAACTTGCGAACGAGGCAGAAAATCACTTCCGGGTAGATTCCAACATGGCGAACGGTTTGTTTTGATAAACAGTCTACAGGTAAGTGGCACATATAAGAACACGGTTTAGAAGAAGAAAAAAAACATGTCTTGCTTGCAGGTATCTTAATCAATCGTGGATTGTGTAAGAGGTCATGTATTTTGAGTGTTTGATTTAAAAAAAACAGTTGGTTTTCTTGTATTTTCCCTTCTATTTATCATACTTTAACGAGATACTAATGTACATTGTCACATGCCATTCCAATGGGCAGGGGATTTCCCGATAATTTTTGCATTTTATTTATATTTAAATTAGGGGATCATCATTGGACAGCGATAAATAAGTACAAGAGTTTTTGTGTTTTTTGATGCACAACTTCTGTTAAGATTGCAGTAAATCGATATTTTTGTTACTCATTAATGAACTAAAAATTATTCTGTCCAAAAAGGTAGATTGTGTTTATGTGTGCGATTATTTGGCTGTAAAAAAAGCGACTTTGCTGAGATATGTAAATTCATGTGTGAAACCGTAGCCAGATTTTGGAATTGTTACATATAGACTCCTTGGAAGACAGGTGTATAATTACCTACAAAAAACCATAATAGACCCTAGAGAGAGTGCTTCTGGTATTTTCTCTAGGATTGGGTTGGTAGTTTACTTCCTTCAGGAAGTTAAAGATCAATCCGAGCCCCTTTGGTTTGGCTCTCTTCTTTCCTCCTGGAAGTTTAGAGTCAGGCCCGCAATGAAATTAAAGAATGGATATTAGTTTGCAGTGCATGTATTTTTATGGCAATGTAAAGTGTACATGCCTGCAAAGGTTGTGCATTTCATTTAGACTATAACAGTAGGAATTTCAATGTAAGTGCATCTCCTGATTTTTAAATTAGTGAACCCTGTTGTTAATAGGATGGAGCAATTTTAATACACACTGAAATAAATATGTAAAGATAATAATAGTAGTTTATTACGCAACTGTAATCTGCTGTGGACAAGGTAAAAATAGTGTAAAATAAAGCAACTAAAAATAACTACAAATTTAAAAGTTCTAATAACTACAAAAAATCAGAAAGTAATAAAAATACAGTAAATAAATCATAGTAAAGGTAAAGGTTCTCCCTACCCAGGGGTTTACACAGGTGGTGCTTTGTATATGGTATTTTTATGATATAGAGAAATATAGAAATAAAATTCAATAATTGTGTGTTTTGACTTGACTTATTCTGTCTATGCTATGAAGTATATTTCGTTATTATACATCTGTCACTGCCATAAGTTACAGTGTGACGTAATTTTGCGATATTTTACGGGGTATTTTTACCCTACCATATTAGGAAATGCGAATTCCAAATATGGAATGGTTAAGCGTCCTCTAATAATAAAAACAAACATGGCTGCCACCAGGGTTTGACGGGACTCCATACAAAGAAGTTCGCTGATTCTGC